ATCATAGAAGGAAACCAGGTTAGTGAAGCAGGGTCTGCCTTTCAGAAACCCATGCTGACAGGGCCTGGTCACCTGACTGCACTGATATGATTATGATTTAACTCATTCATATGATTATGTTAAACTCACACAATGTATACTAAATGCTAACTCAGAGGAAATGTGGTTTTGAAATGATCCAGGGAGAAAAGGTCTCCCATCGCAAAAGGTGAGCCATGCTTCACGCTGGTGTTTGTAATATTGCTCCCTTGGCCAGATCAGGCTCCATGATAAATGACTAAATCTCCACTCAGAATTCTTTAATGTCTTACAAATAACAAGAAATAACCTACATAATGCAGTTAAAATTCAATAGAAGGGCTTAGGGCAGCAAGAAGCTTAAAATAAGCCCCTTGTTAATAGAGACTAAAGCTTATGTTACTTTTGTTTGCAGAAGGTTTGTATGTTTGGTTTTGCTTTTTTTTATTTTAAGAGGCTGAGACCTGACCAGAATGTTTTATTGGTGTAAAATGCAACTTTTAACCACTGGACATCACACAGCAGTAGTGATGCCAAAGCTAACGTATAATATAATACAATAAAAGTCTTTTAGCTGTTTCACTTGCATGGCTTGTTATGTTGTGGCTGTATGTGTTGAACTTTACCAGCTCCATTGTGGCTTGAAAAATACATCTAATCTAAGAAAATATCCCCCCAAACTACAGCACATGCCATGGTACAGTGGAACTATATAGTCCCAGACTGTCTCCCAAAAGAAGCTGAGCAGCTGTTGTCTTGGTGTAATTAGTTTTTGTCTTGATATAGCTAACTTAAGCAGCAGACAGTTGCTTCAGCTCAGACTGAAATTTTCTTGGTAAGCTGATGCTTGGGCCCTAATTTCACAGCTTGTGAATTCCCTTTTGTCCTGGTGATGTTCCATATGTTTTTTCCCATTGCTCATCTTTTTTCTAGCAACCAGAATAGACTCTATCCCTTTTGTATGGGATAGGACTACGCTGATCATGTGGGATGGAGCAGATCCAGACTCCTTCTCCAATGTCATGAACACAGCATATGATCCCAGATCATCGGTGTTACACTGTCTCTCCAGGGAAAGGGGGAGAGCCTGTCTGCTAACGGATACCCTGCGGGGCAGGTTAAGCTCTCATTTACTCCCAAGCAATTCCACTGATTGCTCAGACAAGCTCTGCCAGTGAGGAGTCACCAAAATTACTGTGAGCCAAACTTCACGATACCCCATCTTGTTGTTATTTTTCACTTCTCTTTAAGAAGGCCAGTCCACCTAGGATAAACTGAGTAAGCTGTAACAGCTTTAAGCTGAAAGAGGGTAGATTCAGATGAGCTATTAGGAAGAAGCTCTTCCCTGTGAGGGTGCTGAGGCGCTGGCACAGGGTGCCCAGAGAAGCTGTGGCTGCCCCATCCCTGGCAGTGTTCAAGGCCAGGTTGGACACTGGGGCTTGGAGCAACCTGGTCTGGTGAGAGATGTCCCTGCCTGTGGCAGGGGGGGGAACTGGATGAGCTTTAAGGTCCCTTCCAACTCAAGCCACTCTATTATTCTATGAAGTACCGGCATTTACACCTGCTGTTTCCTTATTGGTTTGGAAGAGTGTTTGATTTGACAGCAAACATCTATCTCAATAGTTGTTTTAGACCCTTAACTGGAACTTAAGCCAGTTTGAGTTTGTTTTCTCAAGCATAACTTTTGCTACCTATATTGAAGTAATTGCTGCAAAACATAAACTGGTGCTTTATTCATGGTGTTCAAGGAAGAAAATTCTATTTCCTGAAATTCTTCCTATTTTGCTGAAACCCTGAGTCTCTACTAAATAACCCTTAATAAACACCTAAGAGCTATTTTGCCAGATCCCAAAAATATGATTATCCTCATTCTGTTGTCCTATTCCAAAATAGCCATTTGCTTTGCTAACAACTACCCCTCCTCTAAATAGCTTACTAACTCCCAAATTAACCTCCCAGCAGTATTGTGAAAAGCAGACTTTTATACTGAGAATTACCTGCTTGACTGACACAGCTAAAATACCTTATACAGATTAAACAGAGCCTCTGCTACTTTACCCTGTCCACAGCATCTGTTTTCATTAGACTTGTCTTTGCCTACATTTTTCTTTTAGATGAAAGATTATTTTTGCCCCTCAAGTGTCTACTCCAGGTTTATGCCAAACTGTGTAAGTATGTGGGAGATGCAGAGTTCTTTCCCCATAACTGACTGAAAACAAAAGGGCATTGTCACTCCAGCACTGTGTAAATTGTTAACCCTTAACTTCTGTGAGGAAAGGCGTTATATTTGGTAGGCAAGGAAAAGAAGCAAGCGTTTCTCCCAACCTTTTAGGCCTAGAAGCATCAGTGGGAAAATGAGAAGGAAGCAGTTGAAAAGCAATAGAACACCAGACTTTCCCAGGCGGAGGTAAAATAAAACCCAAGAGAAATGCTCGGAAGAAATAGGAACAAAGAGTCCCAGAGAGCTTGGTGTTTGAAGAAAGTGTGTTCCTGCATTTTGACACCATTATGCACAGCAACCAGCAAGAGGAAGAAACTACAGCTTGAAATTTGCAGTTTAATATTGTTTCATGTAGCACTGTATATCTCACATGCAAAACTAGCTGTAAATATTTAGATAAACTGAAATCAAATGCTTATGGAAAGATTTTTTTTTCTTCTTGTACCTTGGGCATACTATGTACATAAGACACCAGTTCATTTCCATGATTCAGAGGTCAAACAGATTTTCATCTTCTAGTCATTGGATAGATAATTTCTGGGGCAAAATCTGGATTTATCATGTGCTACACAAGAAGCTTCTCTTATCCTTTGCAGAAGGTTTTTATCTCACTATTATTTCCTCTCCTCTCCCTCTGCAATGTACTCAAAAGCCTGGAACAATACTTCGTCTCTGGTCTGGTGATAAAAATCTCATTGTGAAGAGCAGTGTTAACAGTGCAAAAACTGAATTATTATCCTTTGGTACCATTTTTCATGTGATGATACTCATCTGACAACGCTTTTTCTAACAGATCTGCGTGGCTGGCATGTTTTAGTTTTGGGTCTTTTTTCTTTAAAAATCCCATACCAATCAGAATGTCAGTCCATGCTGAAGGTTCCCTTTTACAATCTTGAAGAGCTGAAGAGTGTAAAAACCCCATATTTTGCTCTTAAGGGAAGCGCACAATACAGTATTAAGTTCCTGGAAATTAGGAATGTCCTTGAAGAGCTTTGTGTCCTCATTTCCTAATCTTCTCAGAGGGTATCTAAATTGTACATGTCTGAACTTTTGAAGAAGATTGTTGCTATCATGTAGAAGGTCTGTGTTGTTTGACCACAGTATACACTTTGGGGTATAACCCTAAAGTAGCCACTGCAGCTGTACAAGTACGTGCACCATCCCCTCCCTTCATGAACCTTGGTTTGTATGCTGACTGCACTTGGAGTGGAAGGGGCATCTGGCCAGAAACTATGCTGTCATATAGAAATGGTTGGGAGTAGAAATAAGGCTTGAATACAAGAGTAGGACCAGAGGCTTGCTTCTGCGTGGTAGGACTTTTTTCAGCAGTGGTGCCAGGGGAACAATATACTTCCATTGTCTGTGAATTAGAGAAAAGACCCGCTGCTGAGAAAGTAGATACATGTGAGGTGGCTTTCATTTGGCATGGTGTCAGGCTGGAAACGGTCCAGGAAATCAGACTAAACCAAGCACAAAGCAACATCCTCGGAAGACGCAGAACATCATCAAGTGCTTCTGTTTACTGATCCATTCCATTAATTAATTAGCCTAATTAATTGCTAATAGAGGAGCCTCTAAGGTTTTCTTTTGAATTACTTTCAGCTGTCCGTATTTCAGAGTTTCAGAGGAATATAGAATAAACCTGTAGGTCTGAACAAGTTACACATTTGTGTTCAGTGTGCAAATGAAACTAGATGTAATCCCTAGTTGCAAAGTTGGGATCCCAAATTCCTTGATTATGTGGCACACTTCCACTGGTGATTTCATGGCTTTGTAGCCCGTGTAGCATGAGAACTGCAGACACTGTCTCATCTTTCTCATAATTCCTCCTATAACCGCATGCATATTATCCCCTGGCTAATCCTCATGTATCTCTGCAACTTGCATTCCTAAGTCTTCCAGAAATAGGCATGCTGTATGTTTTATGTGTAGTAGTACCTTTTAATATTTTTTATAGAATAAGGAAGTCTTGCTAATGATTTCTCAGGTGTTGCAGAAGTTAGAGGCCTGGCTTTCAAAGTCCTGCACTCATGTGCATATTAATTACTTAAACACAAACCAGCATTAGTCAAAAACCTTTTTCTCTCAGCCCTGACAATTTAATGAAACCAAAGGTTTTCTCGGGGAATGTGTCATTTTCTGATTAATTTTCAGTGGTGGTTGTACAAGTCTCATTAGAACAAAGTACAAAAAGATTCTTTTGAGATCATTCTGATTATATTACAATAAAATGTAAATGCTGAAATGGAACATTCTGGGAAGATGAAGCAAAATATTCTGGAATGCTTTATTTTGCAAATAAATACTTATTTTAATACTCTTTTCCTGAATTAGAATTAAATATTGTATGAAAGTCTGCATTTTCCTGCTAATAGAAACTCCGTTCTCCAGTCATCTCTCCAATTTAAGTACACATCCATTATTTTTGGCTGAATTTTCCCGCTCAAAACCAATAGTTCAGTCCATGAAACAGTTTGATGATGTGTCCAGTGAATTAATTCTGTTTACATCTCCACCCTTTGAGAGACAACCACAAAAAAAAGTTACATTAAAGGCTACACCTCTAGAGGGACAAACCATTGCCATTTCAGAGACTTCTCCAGAGCAGTTAATATACAGTGTTTGTGAAATGTGGAAAGCAATGGAATATACATCAGGTTCTCCAGTTACATATGGTGGAAGTAATCCAGACTTTCCTCTCACTTCTGGCATCTTATGCTATAACTTTTTCTTGACTTCCATTTTTTATTCTAGTGCCAACAATATGCCTAAGCAAGTAGAAGTGCGGATGCATGAAAGTCATTTAAGTCCCGTGGAGCACAGATCCAGGAACATATGTGTGCAGTTCTGCCAGTCGCTCCATAGGAATCTGCTCCTGACTCTAACTGTCTTCGGTAAGCTACTTCTGCTGGTCGGGATGTGTAGTATGCATCTGTATTTGTGTGTGTAGTCCCACAGAACCCAGCTGGAACACCCGAACAGCCGGAGAACAGGTAGGACGCCCACAGGCGTTATCATAGAATCAAGACTGGTTTGGGTTGGAAGGGACTTTAAAGCTCACCTAGTTCCAACCCCCTGGCACAGGCAGGGACACCTTCCACTAGAGCAGGTTGCTCCAAGCCCCCGTCTCCAAACTGCCCTTG